TCTCTTCTACCTGCAACACTATTTTAAACTTTCATTGTAGTACTTGTCCCACTGAATTATAATTTTTAGTTTAATTCACTAGATGTTGAGGTCCTTGAATGGAAAACTAGTTTTCATTCCTGATTAAAAGCTGAGCGTTGTAGCTTGGGCTTCCAAAACCAAACTCACTGCAATCGAATCAAATACAACTCACAGTGACTCCACCTTGGTTTCTGAGGTGGTATCTCTATGGAAGTAGATTGTCCAACTTTCTTTCCAAGGAGTGGCCAGTGGGTTTGAACCACCAGCCTTCTGGTTAGTAGTCAAATGCCTTAGACACTAAGTTACCAGAACTCCTAGCTTGGGGTGGGGCCCTAGTAAATGCTTTTAGATTTTGAAACAGTTAGGAATCTATTCCTTCAGACAAGATGAAAAGTAGCTGATGGGGGGTAGTTCAGTAGTCAGCAAACTAAAACCCATTATCTGCTTTTATAAACAAAGTTTTATTGGAATTCATTCATACTCATTTACTTATGTATTGTCTATGGTTGCTTTCACATAACAGCAGCACAGCTGAAATAGTTGAGACTGAGGTCACACATAAATACAAAAATACTGAGTTTCTGGAGCTTTGCTGAGGAAGTTTGCTGATCTCTGGTCTTGTGAATAAAGGTGAATGCCCTAGGAGGCATACTACTATCACATATTTAAGGCTTTAAAAGAAAAAGTGCATTTGACTGCTAACCAGAAGGCTGGCAGTTCAAACCTACCAGCCACTCCTTGGAAGGAAGACTGGCAATCTACTTTCATAGAGAATCTACTTCCATAGAGATATAGCCTTGGAAACCCAAGGAGGGGTCACTATGAATCGGATGAGACTCGTCAGCAGTGAGTTTTTTTTTTTTTTTTAATTTCTTCTATCACTTAACATTTGCCAGCCTTCTTTTTTGCAACTTCTCATCTCATGCTATCTTAAAAGAATGAATAACAAAATATATAAACTAGTTAAAGATAATGTAAATAAATTTAGGCTCCAAATAATGCCCCTGGACCCCAAATAATGCCATCATTCTATCTTTAATCTACTGATAGGGAAACGGGTCTTGTTTCATAAGAATTCCTACTCAAAATTGCTTTCTGGATCATCAGCTATTTAATAGCAAGGGAAATGTCTTTGAACTCCTTTGCAATGCCTGTTGCCCCTCTGTCCCCTGACTCAACACCTCATTCGGTGCTCTGTTCACTGAGGTCACTCCATAAATGTTGACTTATGACTAGTGATATTAGAGGACATTAGGTACCTGGTTGCACTTCGTAGGAAGTAATTGGGGCAGACAAACAGGGACTAGGATGGGAGTGAGTGGAGGGGGAATGTGGAGAAGGCATGGGATACAGGGAAGCAACCAAGAAAGATGGCTCTAAAAGCGTTTGCTGATTTAAAACTCTGGAGATATTGAAACCACTTTCAAATTTTGCAGTCTTTGACATTTTTGCAATTTTTCCATGTTCTTGCTACTGTTACAGTACCACAGATAAGAAATCCTCAAACCTTTCTCTGTACTGGAATAATGAGATTGGAAAGAAAAGATCTTTTTCATCTTTTTAACATTAAAAAAAAAAAAACCTAGTTAAAGCCCAGCAGTTCAACAAATATTACTCATGTCATTGGCAAGAAGAAAAGGGGACTTTTGAATAATAATAAAAAAAAAATGGAAAAGATGAACACAAGAGGCATTGTTTGCATATCAGAAAAATTAATCTACATAGGAAAGTGTAAGAGCCTGCAATTCAGAAAGCAAAGAATTAGGACAGCCCAGCTGAGAATAATTTTCTAGCCAGTTAATTTAATTGCATAAATCATTCCTTTGTTAGCAATAAAGAGATATAATTAAAATGAGATTGCTTCTAGTTTCTATTCTCTAGAAACTAAAGGAATTGATTTTGGGCAAAGCATTCTTCCAAATACCAGATCGGCAAATTACATTTACCTTTTTAGAAAAGCTAAATTATTTTGCCGTAATATCATGGTAGGTTTAATTAATTATAGATCTGCCATATGATCTTAAAGAAATAATTTATTTAATGTCCTTAGAACAGAAGTTTGCAATCATGTGTGTATCCCTTTGGTAGATGGTGTGCAGATTTTTACAAACAGGTCAGAAGTTTAACAGGCAGCTGTCAGGAGAAATCTAAGGCAGTCTAACGATTGTTTAGGGTTTTACTTAGCTGTCCTTGTTTAAAATAAAAAACGCCACTACTTAGTATTGCATAATTTAACTGAACTCATTTAGATAGGCTTTATTCTAAAATTGCTACTGGTAATTATTTGCTGTCTCTGAACCTCTGGGATTTAAAGAGCCTATAATTGTCTATTAAATAGGGGAAAAATCAGATCAAAGAGGAATGCAAAAAGTCTCCTACTATAAAGCACAGGTCTGCTGATCAGTCAGTCGAATGTCAGAGAGAATTGCAAGCTGTGACAGAGAAGAGGCTCATTTTTATGGTAATGAATTTGAATTTTTTAAAATGTACTGAGCTACACTTGCTTGTTCCAGATTTTTGAACTTCATTGGCATTACTTGGCAACAGGGATTTGTACAGTGGTGGGAGGGATCCCACAGCCTTCAGAGGGCCTGTTGTTCCTCTCAGTGGAGTCAATTCCGTCTCCTAGGCTCAGAGGAAACCAGGACCTGTGGTGCCATCCTAGTTCTCACACCATGGCTGAGCCTCTCAGACAGGCCAATGATCTCTTCCGACTTCTTAGACATGAATGTAAAAGGTTCAGATTGATTTTTGTATTAGATACAATGTTTGGATTAGCTGTTGCAGATTTACATTTATTAACATTTTGCAACAAGAAATACAGGCTACAGTTTATCAGGATTCCTGTGGCTCTTGAGAAAGAAGGCAGAGGAGAAAATAACCTGAGGACCAGAAGAAATTAGTGTTCCTTGTATGATTTCCTCTGGTGCAAATCTTCTACCAAAGGAGGTGGACAGTAAGTGAGGCTCTTCAAGCAATTCAAGATTATCTTTAATCCAGACAATTTGTCCACAGGACGGAAGAGATAGGTAAGAGCTTCCTCTGCTTAGAAAGTCAGCAGAAGATTCCAGTCTTCTGCTGGAGTCCTAGCTGCTACAGACACCTTCTAGGTGGGTCTAGGGCAGAGGATAGCCCTTAGACCCCTTGTAGCACCTTATAGGCTTTTCACCTAATACCATGACTTTCAATCTTACACTCCTTTTCTTGACTCACTGTCTGACACCTTAACTAACTGGCTGGTTCCTCATTAACCCTTTCAATGTGCTCAAAACTGGCATTGTCTCCTTCCTCAATATTTAACCCTTTGTAACTTAGACCTTTGACTTGAGCTGGCTATTAATGCAGAAAACAAAACAAAACAAAACTCTCACAATTAATGTTGAGATTGATTAATAAATACCCTAAATATTTGGAAAGAATTAATGTGGAGGGCATATTTAGTGATAACAGGATGTTTTCAGCCAGAACTAAGTTAAGGAGTTAGGATTCAAAAAACTCTTTTCAACCTTATCCCTTGATTCTGGATTATCTTTGCTAATTAATATCAACTTTAGGCAATTCAGGTCTTGTGTCTATGTATTGATTTTCTTATTGCTTTTCTTTATCCACAGGAGCACTGGTGGCACTGTAGTTAAAGCATTGGTCTGCAAAGCAAGTGGTTGGCAGTTCAAATTCACCAGCCACTTCATGGAAGAAAGATGAGGCAGTCGGCTTCTGTAAAGATGCACAGAGTGGGAAACCCTACTTACTCTGTCCTGGAGAGTCACTGTGAGTCAGAATTGATTCAGTGGCCATGAGTTTTTCTTTGTTCAAATCAGGAGTCTCTGGATGGTGCAAATTGTTAAGGCACTTGCCAGCTAACTGAAAGGTTAGAAGTTCATGTCCACACAGAGGTATTTATGAGGAAAGGCCTGGTGATTTACTTCTAAAAACACAAGGATTGAAAACTTTATGGAACCCAGTTCTGCACTGACACACATGCAGTCACCATGATTTGGAGTTGGCTCAACAGTCACTGATTTATTTCCCACATCATTTAGATAGAAATTCTCACTTGCTCCACCAATAATCATTCTCTCTATGTAAGTTTATTCATGGATGGTACAGATGATATTGCTAATTAATTGGGTAAATCATGGGATATCCAAGGAACCATGTCTAGTCTCATGCACTTCAAATTTAAGATCTATCATGAAGATATTTCCAAAAGTATATATTAATAGTGTTGCCAGGTATAATGCTCAGGATATCCTGTCCATCTGAAGGCTTGGTTGGCTTCTGAAACATCATGGCATGCATCCTCATAACATGGAGAGTGTCACATGCCATTAACCTAGATTAGCAATGAGGGCAGAGATGTTTAATGTCACATATTTAATCCAGGTGCAAAGGGTGAATTATCAGCAGCCCCTTATAGTGATCTCTGGCTTTCCAGCATTAGAGCTTAGGACCTTCTCAGTTACCTGATAGGAACCAAATAGTACTAAGCTGATATATAATTAAGCTATTTTTCATTAGTATCATAAGGCTTTCATTATTGCAATATCTTAAATATGTTCAAAATACCCAGCAGCCATGAAAATTTAATGAACCCTAAAGAGATTTAGGGTCTTTATCCATGTTAGAGCTGATTTGGGATTAGTACAACTACTTGATATTACCTGTCTGTATCCTAGTGTTAGGAATTTGGTCTGCAACCTTGGATCAAGGTTCTAGATCCATAGTGTTTCAGATCATCATCACCATCCCATGCCGAAATTGCTAGTTCCCCCTTCTGGGTTCTCACAATAACTTTTACCTACCTCATCACATATTTCAGTGTTCTATTGTTATTTCCCTAAAGAGATAGTTCAGTCACTATCTGTGAGCTTCCTGGGCTCAGGAATAGAAGCCCATTCATGGTTTGATCCCCAATATCCAGCCCAGTGCCTGGCATATAGACAATTATTCTTTATTGTTGTTACTAACACAGAAACATTTTCTTAAAAATTAAATAAATAAATAACAACAGCTATGTCCTTGACCTCTTTGGCATGCTATTCACATTCTTGGCCTCCTAAATACAACCCTTATCAAGAAGTATGATTAATGTCTTATACCATGCCTACACAGGACATTTCCATCCTAAAACCAAACCCACTGCCATCAAGTCAGTTCAGACTCATAGTGACCCCTCATTGGGTTTCTGAGGCAGTAAATCTTTATAGAAGTAGATTGCCCCATCTTCCTTCCATGGAGCAGCTGGTGGGTTTGAACTACCAACTTTCTGGTTAGCAGTCAAATGCCTTAAGGCATTACACCACCAGAACTCCTTTTTATATCCTAGATATTTAATAAATTTTGAAGAATGAAAGTGGTAGGCCTTTCAATGACTCCCAGGATATATCTTTATAGGATATCTAGTGTGCATAATATTGGACACAGAAAGGGTCACATTACTGAGTGGCTAAAGCCTAGTATTCCTCAGAGCTCGATTTGAGACCCTCTTTTCATGTTATACACTTTTCAAACTTTAGCTGTCATCTCTTCTGGTAACTCCCAATTCCCAACCTATCTTCTGAGCCCTAGACCCATCTATTCAACCCTCTTCTGAATACCTCTACCTGGTATACCACAGGCATCTCAAACCCAACCCATCTGAAATAGAACCCTTCAATTTCATCTCTCTTTCTTTGCAAATGGTACCGCCAGTCATCCAGCTGCTCAAGATAGAAAAGAAAGAAAACCTTCCCTCTTTCTTCTCTCTTCTCCCCCCACAACAACTCAATCACCAAGTCCACTAATTCTATTTCCTGAATGTTTCTGGACTCAATCCTTTCTCCCCTTCTTCTTGGACCAATTTGTCAAATTCTGTCTTGCTCCTTTCTAATCAAGACTCTATAGTATAGCCAAAATGATCATCATTTAAAATATTACAAATACGTAACTGCCCTTCAGGTCTGGAATTGAACCCACTCCTGTGACTTCCAGCCAAACAAAAGACAGGCATATGAGTTGAACACTTAACATTAAGGTAGAAACACTCCTTGGAGAGATCAATCATAGGAGAACAGAAGGGCTCTGTATGCACAGGGAGACAGCTTAGGGGACAGGAGTACATGGGAAGGATGGACACAGGGAGAGGTTAATATGAGAAGGAAGTGGGAAGAGAGCTGTTGCATTGTGGGAAGTTGCAGTCAATATCATGAGACAAAGTGTATGTGAAGTGCTGTATGGAAGATGAATTTACTCTAAACTTTCACCCAAATCACAATAAAATTTTTAAAAAATTAATAAAAATAATTCTACTCTTCTACTTTAAAGCTTCTACTGTTTTCCCATTGCCCTTGAACTCCTTATCAGGGCTTTCTAGCCTTTGATGATCTTCTTTGTCTCATGACATTCTTGCCCTTCCCAAACTTTAATATGACCGCTTCCTCTTAACAAGCAGCTGTTTCTCCTCAAAGACATAGCTGCTACCTGACCACATTGGTAAATGTAGCCCTACCATCAACCCACTCAATCTCTATTTCATTACCTTATTTGTTTCCTTCAATGATAAACTTATCCAAAACCGAAAAAAAAAAAAAAAAACCTCACTGCATTCAGTCCTGATGAAGTTCTGTTGTTGTTGTTGTTATGTGCCATCAAGTCAAACCCGACTCATAGGGACCCCTCCTTGGGTTTCCAAGGCAGTATCACTATGGAAATAGATTGCCCCATCTTCCTTCTGAGGAGTGGCTGGTGGGTTTGAACCACCAGCCTTCTGATTAGCAGTCAAATGCCTTAGGCCTTATGCCACCAGAGCTCTAGGCAATGTACCTCCGTTGAGACATTGCCTCTGAAACCCAAGGAGGGGTCAGAATGACTTGGGACCTACTCGACTACAGCGAGTTTAGGGTTTTTTTTTTTTTTTTTTGGTTAATGGCCAAAGATTGTGAGCATTTCCTCATGTGTTTCTTGGCCACCAGTATATCTTCTTTAGTGATGTGTCTGTCTCTGTTCCTTGCCCATTTTTGAATTGTGTTGTCTTTTTGGTGTTAAGATGCTGAAGTTTTCTATAAATTTTAGAGGTAAATCCTTTGTCAGATGTATCATAGCCAAATATTTTTTTTTTCCCCTATCTGTAGGTTCTATTTTCACCCTTTTGGGGAAGTCTTGATGAGCATAAGAATTTAATTTTTAAAAGGTCTCAGAGAGAGAGACCTAGCTTCTCTTCCCCTGCCTGTGCATTTTGTGTTATACTTGATAGTTTACGCCATAGATTAGAGCCCCTAGATTTGCCCCTATTTTATCTTTGAAGAGCTTTATAGTTTTGGGTTTTATAGTTAAGTCTTAGACCAACTTGTGTTTGTTTTTGTGTATGGGGTGTGGTATGTTGTTGTTGTTGTTTCTACAAGTGGATACCCAATTTTGCTAGCACCATTTGTTAAAGAGGATATCTCTTCCCCATTTAATGGGTTTTAGTCCTTTGCCAAAGATCATCTATCCATAGATGGATGGGTCTATTTCTGGGTTGTCAATTCTGTTCCAATGGTCTATCTGTCTATCATTGTATCAATCCCATGCTTTTGTAACTACTGTGGCTATATAGGAGGTTTTGAGATCTGGGAGTGTGAGACCCCCTATTTTTTTCTTTCTTCTTCAGCAGTGCTTTGCTTATCTGAGGTCTCTTTTCTTTCCATATGAAATTAGTGATTGGTTTTTCCATGTCCTTAAAAAATGTTGATGGAATCTGGATCGGGATTTCATTGAATGTGCAGATTGCTTTGGGTAGTATTGACATTTTCCCAATATTCACCTTCCTATCCATGAACAAGGCTTGTTCTTCATTTATGTAGATCCCTTATAGTTTCTTGTAACAGTGTTTTGTAGTTTTCTTTTTTACAGATCTTTTGTGTCTCTGGTAAGATTTATTCCTAAA